CAGGTCGCGCCGGCGTAACCCGCACGTACGCGAAGGTTTATAGATATGATGATGCCTGCTTGGCCTTGCAAGTTAGAGATTTTGTGCTCACGTTTGCTTCTCTCTTGTCTTTGGAAAGAATTGCACAACGCCTGCTTGTTATTCGTCACAGATGAAACACCAAATACACCACCCCCCAAAGTTTCTCCCTCTGCTAAACCACCACACAGCGGTGGGACCACCGCCGTGCAACGCTACGCAACCCCAGAGTACCACGCAAAATCCAACACGCCACACGCAATCAACCAAAGCCCCGAGACGCAACACTAAGACAAGTGCATGGAAAGGCAGGTAGACATGATGATATCGATGGTCGACAGCGACGGAGATGGGCAAGTGAGCTTCGAAGAGTTCCACCGCTTGGTCATCGACCCGGATCCGTCCAGGGCCGACTTTAGCACCGAGCCAATAACAAGCAACAACGACGGGAAGGAGGCCGCCCGGGTTTCCCAGGCAAGTGGCAAGGGGTTTGAGACGAACGGAAAACCGCCCAGAGTTACGAGTTCCGCGGTTGTGCTTAACGTCAACATTGGACGAAAACGAGTATGTAAAGAACGGCGATGAAGGAGGGAGGTGTTAAAGATTGCATAAACGCTTGGTTGGTTCTCTCACGCGTTGCACTTCGGGGAACGTAACGTCTGGTTGTAGGTACGCCATGTGTGTTGGCGCTTTTGTAAGCATCAAGAAATGGGAGATGTGGGTAGGATTTAGGGTGGCCGTGTTGATTATCTGTGGTACTGCATTGATAAAAACACTTCCACAGATGCGTCAGTCTATGATCGCTTGAAACTGGAATATACATACAACCCATTCCGCATGGCCTTTAACATGGCAAGACCCTACAATCTCCTTGGCACACAAACAAGCAACGACACAAGTCACAACAACACCAACAACGACGAAAAAGGCATACCACCACCACTTGGATTGCAGGAGATGAAGGACCGTGAGAGCAAGAGGTGGCTTCTGGAAGACTTCGTCAAGGAGAATGAGATCAGAGCCGTCGAGCTCGAAATGGCCTACAAGCGCTTCCAGAATCTCGCTCCGTCCCGCACTGGCGACAAGCAAGCGACCTCCTCTGTGGAGATGGACTTCAACACGTGGATACTGGTGAGCTTGAATAAAATACAGAACGACAACGTTCTCCTTTGGAGTCCTTTGGAGATTCTTCTTTCGGTGTTGTTGTTGTTGTTGTTGTTGTTGTTGTTGTTGTTGTTGTTATTGTTGCTGCTGCTGTTGCTTTCGAATGAGCAAATTATTCTGATCTGAACTATGTTATTGCCCTGTAACGCCGATGCCAAGTTAAACGGTAGTCATTATGGCACGTGTGTTCACCGCTTCGCCCACAGGTCTTTAACGTGGAGGCTACGGGACAGTACCGGAAGCTGTTCAAGCTTTATGCTCTCCCGGGAACAGGCGGCGAAACCGACGCTGAGCTGGAATCTCAGAAAGTCGACATTCGGGAGGTGTGCGAGTGTTTACGTTTCTTTTATTAGCGTCGACCACGCTGACCGAATGACCAATGAAAATAAGTCAGTGTCAGCGGGTAAAATTAAGGTCCCTGGAAGGGTGTGTGTGCGCGCGCGCTCTTGTTTACCATCGACCGCGCTGACCGGCCGACCACTGAAAGACGACCGCGTTGTAGTGTATATATATGTGTTTGTGCATGTGACTATCGCATTGATGTTCGGAAAAGCTTTTAGATCCCACTATTGCTACCTCCCTACTAGCGACAGGAATGAGTCAAGTCATGGTCACAGAGACGGGGATCAGCGTGTACAGAAGCTGGCCGCCAATACGATGCAAGAAATTGAAGCAGGAGAAATACCATTTTTTTATCGTGAACGCAACGTCTACGCACGAATGCCATCCGGCCCCTCGTGCAGTAGGGAGCTTGGCTACCGTCCCATCGATGCGGCCCAAATAGGCAAGGATCGCCCACGGTCCATGGGAGATGAAGTGTGAAAGATCGCGTCATTCACCGTGCTGTTTGTGTGCAAAGTCTGTTCTGGCATACATACATGTACTCAAACCAATTGATGAAATGCTTGTATTCTTGTGTCCGCCACAATGCTCAACCAGTAGATGTCGCAGACGCCCTACCAAGCCCGTTCCGGGACACCCTGGGTACAAATAAGCTGAACGTGTGTGTGCTTTCCTATTTCCCTCAATCTCGAACTCGGCCAACCATTCGATGAAGAACATGTCAGCCTCATGGGCCAAATCGTGTTGTGTGCGTATCGTGTGCGTATCGTGTGCGTCCATTGTGCATTGTGTGCGTACCTTGTGACAACTCGATTCATCGAACGACCTACTGCTGTCGGCCATCAGTTCTTCCTGGGAATGGCGAACTTCGTGGAGTGGTCGCTGGAGCCACGGACACAGTTTATATTCACGCTCTTCGATGACGACCGAAGCGGCTTCCTATCTATGGTATGTTCTTGTGCGTACCGTGGTACATGATGCCTCCCGCATGTCACCTGCAGATAGATGTGAGATTCAGTTCGATTTGAATTTTTTTTTAGTACTTACGGACGCTTGCGACTACCCCAAGCAGAGTACACCACAACACGAAAACGATGCCTCAACAGCACGACATGGCTAGCATATAAGCGAAATCACGACCTCATGTTGTCCTTGGGACCACTTTCTGGTCGGCCTCTCACACACAACCCTCCCCCATCTCATGTACTTCTTCTGTCCGTCTTTTTGCTTTCCGTTTTCTTACTCGGTTTTGTGTGCGAAGGACGAGTTGGTGGCCGTCTTGAAGGCGAACCACCTGGCTACCGCCAAGGCCGTCGCGAAAAAGGCGCAGACGATCATGAAACAGGCGGACGCCGACGGGTCGGGCACGCTGACGCTAGACGAGTTCTTGGTCGTGGCCAAGAAATTCCCGAACCTGGTGGGTGATGTGGTGGTACTGATTGTCCTCTGTAGACTGTTCATGATTTGTTTTGTCTGGTGCGAACAAACGGGCCTACCCGCCGAACACCGTTGGTCCATGTATACTCTGCCATTTGAGTATGCAGCACCTGATCGTACGGCCGCCGCCAATTCTCTTCCACAAGAAGAGTCGGGATGCAGATTGGCGTAACGTGAGAGCGCACCCCCGAGTCCACGACTCTTACATGTTCCATGGGCCAGGAGGAGCCTGAAGCCCATAAGCCAAGTCCGAGAAACCCGTTCTCCATGCCCCGCGCAAACGCGGCCCCGCCCCGAGTTTCAGTGATTATACATTGATAGGGGTTTTTTAGGATAAGGAGGCTTTTGACGCCTCTGATTGGTCGGTCGTTGGTTCGGCGGTCGATTCCTCTCCAGAGCCCTCTCCCCATTCCGAATTCCGACAACGCGGTGAAGCCGCGCTTTCGCCCAGTTCGCGGCCGGTAGGCCGTAGGTTGGCCGTGGGTGAGCGTTAGAGTTGGGTTGGACTTGGTCGGCCACGGTGTGTGACCCATCCCATGGTCGGAACCTAGGTTCAACATCCTGGTAGACCTAAAGAATCCCTATCGACATGTAACCCAGTCTCTATTATTTCGTGCCTCTTTGCCCGTCTGCCCGCCCCTCGTCTCCTGCAACCAGCTTTTCCCGGCCAAACCAAAGACCAACGAAACGCAACCGCAGGTTCCGATGCTCGGGAATGGGTAATGGCTTCTTAACCATGGCACTGCTGGCTAGGATAAGGGGGAAGGATGAAATCATTGTAATGTGAAAGGAATTTTGTGACGGTCATTCTCCGGTTTCAAGCAAGCCGTTTTTGGGATCAGAGTGCTAGATACAGGAGCCATATTCGCCATCAGCCGTCGCTTCTACCCACTCTGTTTCGCGCCAGAACTTACCCGACCAAGCGTGTTACCCTACCTTCGATAGCGTTCAGGTCCGTACGCGGAAGTGGGCAGTTGTGAGCGTAAGTGTTTTCAGGGTGGTTGTGTACTGCACCTGGGTTTGCACAGGAGAGGAAGCATGATACCACCACTGCTTTTTTCCCGGAAATTTGTTTTCTTGTTCCTCAACATTTCGTGGTAGATAACAACGTCGTTTCAGCACCTCAGCGCCGAACACTTTCAGAAGTAGCGTGTGTTTGCGTTCGACCAATACTTGTGTGCGGCCAACGTCGACCGAGGAAAATATAGCTGGCGGAGCCGTTAATTCTGGCATGCGAGTGCTAATAGTCCGTCTTCGTTTGTCCAGCTATTTAGCTTACTGCTCTATCCCACAGATAACGCACGAGAAGTTTGCCGTGTGTACATTTACGGTGTGGCTATACTCATGACCTGTCCATGTTTTGGACGCACCACTGCCTGGCAGGAAATACGCGCAATAGCTCTGGTGGCGACAGAAACTGTTAGAACAAAAAAAAAACTCCGGGATCGTTCCTTCTTGTCCGTAACACTGTCTGGGTTACGTTGTGATTGGACGGACGTCTTCAGAGTTTGTCTTGACTTCGTGAAACGCGACCGGCACGTGGGAGACTTTCAAGGCTAGGGATTCACACGTAAACGTCATGTAGGAATCATGGGTAGAAGTCTCTCTATGTAACAAATTGTATCCTTGGTACACATACGCTACACGAAATAGCTCGTACAAACGTCATCGCGCCAGGACCTCATATGTCGCAATCACACAAACGAAAAAGCCCCGTCACACAATCGATTAGTCTACGTAGTCAGTCGTACACGCCAGGAAGGAACCTCAATCAGAAATTTTAACCTGAGCTAAAGAACTAAATGCTACATGCCGCCAGTCATCAACAGACCCGAAGAAACGAAAACCAGGCAACTGGACAAGCGAAGGTGCGCGGTAAGTTGTACCTAGGCCGTTATTGAGTCTATTTCAACGCAGACCCCCCCCCGCGGTAGGACCAAAAATGTTTTCTTCCAACTCGGCTGGGCCCAGGCAGTTGCATCCGTAGGACCCACGCTCAGTTACGTCAACTGTGCCACGCTTGACCGCGTTGCGCTGCGTTATGTCACGCAAGTTTGATCTGTCGTTGTCGTCATCATCAGCAGTCGATTAGACGACCAAAGAACCGAGTGGTCGACATAGTGGGAAGGAGCAGAAGGAGAGAGGAATGTCAGTTTCGTGGGGTTGTTCGTACGCGGGTTTCTTCGCTTCCTTTGTATCTCCCAAACGAGCGGAATGGGTCGCGAATTTGACGTTGAAGCATCGGCTCCATTAACCGTGTGGCCGAAAATGGCGTTTTGTCGCGGCATTAACCAGCCCCCGTTGTATGCAACGATAGCATGACCCACAAATGGACAGCAAAAATTCTACACGAATCTACAACAACAGAGAGGCCTAACACCATAGCTTCGCAAAGTCAGAGCTGGCATTGCACGTGCGCATCAGGTACGATAGAGATGTATTTACTCACACGTAGGGATGCAGTGCTTGATGTGGGCAAACGCGTGCTTTCCACCGTTGCGCTCTAACGTCTCCACCGTGCACGACACGGCCTCACCAACGTCTTGGCTATTCCTGAGGAATGATAACGCCATCGCCACCGACAACAGCAGGATACCGATGTTTCTGTGAGAACAAGGCGCAGCCTAGCCCGAGGTTTGCTAGAGCGAGCCAAGGTGTCATGCAGAGCGTGGGGATCAATACTGCTAGAAGTAAGCTTTCAAGATGGACCCATCAGGGTGCGCAATTGATTGTTGTCTGGCCTGCAATTTTTTCACAGCGGTGTGATACTGCGAACGAGCTCTGACGATGATGGTGTGATCTCGCCAAGTCCCGTCAACCGTGAGCATCGATCGAGAGCCGCCGAGCTACCGATGTCGTAGAACCACACCTCACTGCTCCGACCACATAAAGCTCTTACCGCTGCCCGTAGTCTATCTTGTCCCCGGTGCTCTTGGTGCAGTTCATGAACAAGTTGAAGACGTGCAAGAACATCTTGTAATACCCCACCAAAGCCTCGCCGACCTGTTTCAGAGCCGCATGGTTTTTGGGTCGTTTATACGCCGTTGACGGGAGCTGGTGGCGAGGATCAAGGTCCAAGCGATAGCCATAAGCAATCGTGGCCAGCATTGTACGGGTTGGTGACCATTCTTTTCGGCAGAAAGCTCCTTCATGACGGTGACCAGTGGGATTTAACTCACGAGTAGCACGGGGTACATGAAAGTCGATGACCAGTCACCTACCGAGCATGAAGATTCATTTTGCGAGGGAAATTTAGACATCAACTTGTCATATGATTCATGAAACCGAAGACGAACAGCGTCGGAGTGGTGCAATGAGAATTATCGGTAGAGACTGCAAGCAAATCGAATAGCCTTAGCGGTACAAGAAGATTCTCATCGTCGAGACTCGTTGTTCTCAAACGGTTGGTTGTCATTAGCTGCACGAACGAACCTCTTTGTTTCCGGTGGCAAGCTGGCGTAGAGCACTGCAAGCGAATATAATCACTCCCGGATTCTTGCACGAGATGGCCACCCTCAGGGCTCTCATGATATTCGGCAATGATGGCAGGATGCGCTGGGGATAGCCTCGCGCCGCGCTCAAAAGATCAGACACACCCTGAGTTGGTTGCATAGGCGGCACAAGTGTAGTTTTTCGTATGTTTACGCTTACGCTTGCACCTAGTTATCATGAGCGTCTCGAATCATGGAGGCTCCCGATGTCTCATGAATCTGTTGTGGAGGGCTACGTACGCCTCATTCACATGCCATGGAGGTTGCCGTACATGGGCTGATGCATTTCGTGGAGGTTCATGGTGTCTTGTAAACGTTGGGGGACTCGCCACGACAACTCATCAAGTCTCAGAGCTATTGAGTCGTCGATTACTATGGACAACTCAGGTGTGATCAATGACGCCAGAGCTCTCCGCTGTTTTCAGAACTACTCACCGTTACTTTCAAGAACACAAGAATCAGGAAGAGAGAGTCGTAGAATGTATAGCAGGCAGCTAGCCTACATACAGTATAGTCAGCGGTAGAATCCCTTTGACCCCAAGAAAGAAAGGTCGCAGGTTCGATCCCGTCATACAAGATGCGTTACGTTTTTCCGCATCAGAAAAACTGGGACCTGAGCAATGCAAGCATGATATGCATGAACTCTCTGCATCAGAAAGACTGGGGCGTGAATAGAAGAGACACCATACATATTGATCTACAATCAGCATAGCATATGGCAAGGGGGGCCTACCCTAGGAGAAACGTTGGCACCGGAAATCGATAACCTAAACGTCTTTCTGTTGCGAGGTAAAACAGACAATTGAGTGGTCTAAGGCGCCGATTGAGCCCCTTTACCCTCACAGTGGGTAAGCACTAACCTGTCTCGCTAGGGTCATGCATGGTTCTTCAAGGCAGCGGATACCATCGAAAAACATCGGCAAGTAGTACTCATAATCCAGCTGCTCCAGAGGACAGACCCAGACCAATGCGCTTGCTGAATTATGCGAAGAAGGGACGGAGGCGGCAATGTTGGCACTCAACAGCGGCAGTGCTTGCAAAGTGCAGTCAATCACACCGCCGCAGCGCAAAATGCGGTATAACACCTTAGCGATAACGCCTCCTCGAAAATCAGTCACCCTGTCAAACTCACTTCCCATACAATATGTAGTTTCATGCAGCTACTATTGTAGGCAATATTCTTCACAGAATTCATGCAAGGATAGAATGGTTTTTCTTACCCTCTACAACACCTGTAACAAGCGGACGCCACCAATCAATGGCGGCTGGGGTATTGATTTCCATCCGACGTGCGACGCGCATACTTCCGTATGCACATGCATTTTCACCACGCGTGGACACATCCACAACGGACGATGGTCATTACCCCAGAAGAAGGCTTGCAGCTCATGCAAGATGCCGTAGGTTGCATAAGCCACCACATACCCCAGTTCGAATCCCGAGCTCGATTACTCCACGACGAAGAGGATATGCCACAATCAAACGGTATGCTTTCGGGAAGCTCTCGACGAGAAGATAGCAACACCTCCATGTTCGGCACCGTCACCGTTTTTTTGCTGTTGCCTACAACATTGAGCTTTGAAAATCGACCTGGAGCTTGGTATCCTATGCAATCCGGGGTAGTTCCAAAACGCCCTATGTAGGCAGTCGTGGTTATTTTCTCACCAGCAGAGCAATGCTTGGAGCAAGGAACCTCTCCTCTGAGATATCTGTCCGGAAACGCGGACGGCACGGCAGCCACTTCGTCTCTCACGCTCAACCCCTTCCTGGCTGGTCGCATTTTCTTCTCGAGCGCAGTCTGTCTTTCTATCTCCCGTTGCTTGCCCTGCAGTATTTGCTTTTTCCTAGTGTGGTCGATGGAACCGCCCTTCCTGAACGGCGCTGCCTTCAACAGGTCCTGCTGAAGTCGCTTAGTCGAGTGACCCCCTACGAGGAGCCCAATATCTTGCTCGCGGGTTCCTCCTCCTACCACACGTATCGACGGCAGTTCACCTGGGTTACCTATGACCTTTCTCCTTCTATCAGCACCATCCTTTCTGCCAGGACTCGGCGGTTGCCCCAATTTTTCTTGGCGGGAAAGCCGCGCCAAATGCTTTTTTGCGACCACCTTGGCCACTCGCTGACACCTGTCGTCGACTACTCCAAGCTGTTGTTGTAAAAGCTTTCGTCGAAGCTGAAGCTCGTACACCCCGGCAGTACCACGACTATTTTGACCCATGTGAGCAACCTCTGGATGATGCGTTGCCGGCATGACCAAAGCCGGACTAGGGTATCGATGTCGGGCGGGCGGCCGAGGGCCGTCGGGCATTTCGCGATGAAACCGAAAAAACGCCTCCACGAAGTAGTGGCACCCTTCTGAAATTCCGCCGCACTTGGTTCCCCCGCGCTTCGCGAACGCTCTCTCTGCTGCTCTGCTGCTCTGCTGCTTGTCACGTCAAGGGACCCTCCAGGGAAGGTCGGCATGCTGACTGCTCCGACGCACACGATACCTGTGTGTCTGTTCGAGCTTGGCGATGGGGTGGGGGCACTCCATGATAATGATGCTGACACGAACGCCGCTGTGCCCTGTCGCAACACCGCCACACTTGACCAGTTTTCAGACAAGAACATAAACATGTTCAAGTTTCGACGTTCCGCTGTCGCCTGTGACGGGGCAAGCGATAGGTACGAGGATTAGGTACACTTGAAGCAGTTCATTGAGGGTTGTACATGATGCCGTAGCACAACAGGTGTGAGAGAGTTCCATTGTCCCACGCACATACAATTCCTACAACCGGTTTATTTAGCTCTTTTGGTCTTCGCGCAACTTGGGGTTTAGTTATTAATCTGTGTGTATAGTAGCTTTTGTAGTATATCTTGATTGTTGACTCAACGTCGGAGTGGAATGATAGGCCCTGCCTCGCTAATCTTCTAGCCTGGAGGAATGTTATGTCTTACGAACCATTCAGCGGCAGGCCCTTGTGTGTGAGTCTCTCCACCTATTCAACGTAATTTCGAAGTATCTCACTGGATGATTTCCGATTTCAGAGCGGTTTTCAAGTCCAGACAACGACACCAGCAAGGTGCGGATGGTTGTTTTTTGTTCATCCAAGAACACACGGTACGAAGCACGCGACGGCGGCAAGATAGATAGACATGCATGTACAAGGTATCCAACTCGGAACCCAGATTGGCACACAATAACCGTTTTGACGCACCCAACTCTAGTGCATGGATGGGTTGGTGGCGAAAGTTGATCGGCTGCTGCTGTGTGCTGGACTCGTTCACAGGTTCGGACCCGGAAGGCTGTCGCGACGACTCCATCAAACCGAACGTTTGCGGGAGCTGCGAGCCCGCCGCGCTGCCGGTTTCGCACACGAAGCACCAAGTGGCATCCTGCTGTCAAGAAAATCGGCAAGAGGCGGAAAACCACGCACTGTTGACACGCCGGCGGCGGGTAGCCGCGAGAGCAAGCGTCACCGGATATCCGCAGCCGTATCGCCAAAGGTCGCAGAGCAAGTACCGCCCCAGAAGGGTTCTCCGGCTGATTTCGTAGCTCCCATTTTGCAGCCGGGGGAGGTTCCGCCTCGTTGTGGGCACCCAATGCCACGAGATGAGACTCCTTGCACTGATCGGTCTCTCGTTCGAGACCGAGACGGGGGTGCCGACGGCGCATGTGGCACTATTACGGGCCGGAACGATGCAAGGCCGGGCGACAACTTGACATCAAGCCATCTACCCAGCGGGGTGATCGAGGGTGGTGGTGGCAGCAATACACGCGTCAAATTTTCGATAGGTCCCACGGTTTCCCTAGACGAAGGCCCAAGCCTCGGCCCGAGCTCCACGAGTCTATGCGAGACTAGCGGTTCGTTCGCGGTGGCTAGTTCGTTTAGAATCCCTCCCGTTCGGTCCGCGCCGGTGCCGTGGAGGCCTCGGGCTGCGATCAACGCCAAGAGCTCGTCCGCTCGCAGCGGCAGCAAGCGATCGGGCGAAAAGCGGGCACACCACAAGCAGCACTCCGGCAGAAACAGCGATGAGAAGGAAATCGACGAGACGGCACTGGCGGAAGCCGCAGCGACAGCAGCTGAGGGAGACGCAGTGGCTGGAAGATGGATATCTCCTGGGGACGCAGGTGAAAATGGCGACCTCTGCACTGCTGGTAGTGCGGGCAACGTACACAAACCACCCTCCGTGCAGTCGAGCGTGGTCTACCCGCGAATTCCTGACGCACACGGCGGGGTTTCCCTGAGGCTGAACCCGGCGGAACGGTCGCTGGAGCCGTGGGGCACCGCCCTCGCGCCTATGCGGGCAATGTGCGACATCGACCCGTCGCTTTCCCGCGCCGGGATTGTGTACAGGGACGTCATCCATGCCGTGGAAGGGGCACAGAAGATGAAAACGTGCCACAAAGCCAAGGTGAGGAAGGCAGGTTGGTTGATCCCTCACGCCAAGACACGAAAGACCCTCACGAGCAAGCCATCCCGCCATCGACCGTCTTGTTGCGTCTGTCTGTACTCTCGCGACGCAGAGGCCAGGGAGCCAGTGCGCTCACGGCGTATCCCATGAGGCGGGCAAAAACGCACATTTTTGTTTTTGCATTGCGAAGAAGTGGTGAATCGGGTTGCCGCGGACATGTGGTGGCGGGTATTTCTCTGCACCTTGTGCCTAGGGCATGTGGTCGAAGTGGAAGGGCCGGATGGACTTGACGTCATTCGGAAATAGCGCGCGGAAACTTCTTCGCACCTCCTACGTATAGTGTCGTTTTGCAAAAATACTGAGCATTGGCCTACGAGGAACAATTACAAGAGTCTAAGCTACTACAACTACACTAATAGGCGAGGCCCTTCCAACGCCGCGCAATACTATTGGAGAGGCTAAAAAATCGTGATACCCTATTCCTTGTGACCCGGGTGTCGATATTCTACTGCCATCAAAAGTAGAGGCCTTTGTTAAAAACCCCGCCCCTTCTACCTGTGTCATTCCACAACTTCTCGAACGACTATTTTAACACAGATAAGAAAGGAACGGGATGCAAGATCGCTGCTGGGGCAAGACGTCCGGCCACGCACGAGTGAACCTCGATCGCGAGTTGCCGGTGTTACAACCGAACTAGACGTTTTGAAATCCATACTGGTTAGGGAACGGTGAGTGCCGTATGCATACAACAACGCACACTGGACGGGGCTATGCAACGAGTTACTGCATCAGCCGGTGCTATCCTTTACTTCACCTTGGTCGCCAAGTACTTGCGCCATGTAACTCGGAGTGGGTTGACCAACAGTGGCTGAGGGACTGATGAACACAACACGTGAGACGACTGATGCCCGGTGTGTGCCGAGTTGTCGCCACCCAACACCCCCAGCAGGGAGGGAAACTCCGAGAGGGCGGCCCCGACCAGTGTCGTCGTCGGTTGCGATACATGCGATAGACCGGTTTCAACGTCCCTGAATGCATCTGTTACCATGCGCTTGCGCGTTGCGTGTTCCACATCCGTCTCTCCTTTCCCTTCTCTCTTCTCCTCGGGGCAGGCTTATCGTGACTCTCAAAAGGTTGATTCGAAGACTCCGCCGCCGATGTGGCAAACTCCAAGAGCTCTTGCGGTGGGAGGCCAAGTTTCGTTGGCACTACGGGAAGTCCCCTCCCGAAGTGGCGGTGTGTTCCACGCGATCTACCAGGTTTGTTTTTGTTGTGTAGTGGAAAATGTGTCTCTATTTCAGATGTAGTAAACCATGCACGACCCCCCGTACTTCTGATTTCCCCCGGCAGGGAGGACAAGGGGGGGCCACGAACCCATAGCCAGTTTTCTGCATTGGATGAGCAGGACACATTTGCGCTTTTCCGGATTCAGACAAGACGCGTTCTTGAAGTCTGGCAAAGACAAAGTTCATTCTTCTCGCACTCCCTCGACGCTACAGCGGTAACCAGTTCCCTGTGAAGTTTGGGACGTGCACACGCCCTGGTGGTCGTTGAACAATCCCTCGCTAAAATTTGACGATGATCAGGGAAAGGTTCTCGTCGACACTCTCGTTCAGTTTTCTTGCTAGCTTACCCTTTGTCTTGGGCCACTCGCGGCCTTCTGCGGGATGCGGTGGGATGCACGGTTCAGAAAAACTCTCCTCTCGGAGCAGCAGGAGCTTAGGGTGGTGCTGGCGCACCTTCGAGCGATGTCGTTCGACACGGTTAAAGCTGTGTCCGAGTGGCGGGTGAGACATGTATTAGCAGAGCTATGGCACCACCACATTCCGCATTAAAGGAGGGATATATGTATATTTCCCTGACATTGGGTAGAATGAAGCCAACGTATCCATTGGCCACCCACTCTCCCTCATGGAAAGAGACAAAGAGCAGCGGTGGATTTGGTAACCTTTGCCGAGGTAGTCCGATCGACAAGAGTCGGTTCAGTAAAGCTTTGTTTGGAGTGACCGCGGAATTCCTCTTTCATCCTTGATGTGTACACTACTTTTACTAAGCCGCACGTACGTACGTGTTGTTGGCTATTTCCACAGACGACGTTCCTTGGGTCCGGAAAACCAGGGTATCGTCGCATGCACCCTAGCGAATCAGCCCTGGTTCGGTCCAACGGAATGACGAGATTCCTGGAATCGCCCGCAGAGTTTCAGGAACATGATCATGATATCGGTATAGTCTACCGTGGCGACGAAGAAGGGCACCTTCAAGGCAACAAGCAAAGGCACAGCCAGAGAGAACACCCGGGGCTTATTGACGCTTCGCCGGAGGGACAACAAGCCGGACTCAAGCGCCGCAGCAGCGCAGCCGAGAGCATGCACCACCATGAACCACACGACGTTCGCGATGAGGACGATGACAACGCACTCACGCGGTCGATAACCGTCCCTCGGCCTTTCGTCGGCAAGAACGACAGCAACCCGGCCCCTGTGTTCCTCTGGAAGGGCCACAACTACCTCACCAAGCTGGCTCATGATCTAGAGTTTCTCGATGACGCTGACGAGTCCGCTCCGGTCTCCGCTTGGCTTGGCTTCTCGGTCCGAGACAATCCGTTCCTCATCCCTCCGAACGGGCTCAACGTTTGCGAGGATCTGCGACGGCAGCGCGAGGAGCGTCGTGAGGAGGCGGCCGTGCGGCGACGGCAGCAACAGCAACACCAGCGCTCTGGGGGCACAGGCAACGGGCAGAGACGCCTGTCGCGCTCTCGGTCTCGATCCCGAGCGAACAGCGACGACGACGACGACGATAAACACCGACGTACGTCCGCCAGCGGCGATGTCTCTGCACCTCTGCCTCGCGGGCAAAGCAAACAAGAGCGAGAACAAGGCCGCGATCCCGACAGCGACATCAAGGGTCGTGATGCACGGCCAAAGCCGATGGTGCTAACGCCGCAGCAACAGTCGGCGCCGCCCATGGCGGATGCAGACGCGAACGACGAAGGTCGGCAGCGAAAATCAGAATCGGCAACCGAAAACGTGGTGACGACCAGCCCGTTGTTGCTGGTCACCGATGATCAACGCGATGGCGTGGATGGTGGGGGTGGAATTTTTGTCACCGAGGGCGTGGCGAGGAGCGCTTTTTCGACGGCGGCGGCGGCGGAAGGCAGCCTCCGCTCGGCGTCAACGTCGGTCGAGTCTCCGCTTTTCCCGCCGGGCCTGGGGTACTCGGACGACGAGAACACTATCCCGCACCAGCTGTCAACGGACGAAGAGGAGGAGCTGCAGTGGGCGGGAGGAGGGCGCCTCGACCTGCCCATCGTCCCCAAGCTTCACGAATCGGTCCGCTCCAAAGCCCTGGCCGCGGCGCAGGTGCTCCGGAGCGAGGCCGCGTCCGAACAAGCGCTCACGTCGAGCGCCCGGGCGATCCTCTCCAACGCCAGGCGCACGGAAGGGATCTTGCACACTCCGGAGAAAGATTGCTCCTTCAGGATGGAGTCGCTGGCCGAGCGGAGTGTCAGGGAGGGGCTCAGAGGCGCGCTGGTGGACAGGCACGTCGGCGCGACAAGGCTAAAGTGGTCACCGTCGTTGTTGAAGTCCTCCTCTTGTGTGATGATGGGAATGTCGCCGTGCTGTAGGGAGGAAGAGAGGCCTCCGTTCGTTCGGTCGGTGTCCACGGCGCCCGCGAGGGGCGGTGGCCGTCCAGGGCTCGCCGTGATTTGCTCCGGCGCCGCTGCTGCAAGGGGTCGGGCGGGCGCGGCGCGGCTAGGCCACCGCCGAGCGTTGGCGGCTTTCGGCAGCAGGGGCGGCGGCGGCGGTAGCAGCAGGGGAGGGGTGCGTGTCTCGGTAGATGGGCATCGCGAGGCAACGGACGGGGCGATAGCTGGAGCGGGAAAAGGAAGCAGCGATCCCTCGCGATGTACCCAGAGCGTACCTAGAGACGGCAACAACACGAATAACCGCAACGAAAAGGGAAAGCGTGCGCCGCTGCCCTCCTCCCGATCGCAGTGCCTCGAAAGCGGCACCGGATCTGAAACGTCCACGACGAGGCTGGGCGGGACTAATGAGGGAACCGCCGACACAACTGCTGTGTCCGCCGCTCCTCCCGGGGACCGGTCCACGACCTCCTCTTCCCTCCAGGCAAGCTCCTCCACCATGTCAGCCCGGGCGCGAGCCAAGGCGCTCGCGGTCCGCCCCACCGCCAGGCGCCGCCCGTTCTGCCGGAACGGCGGCGGCAGGGTAATCATTCCAGACCCGGGGGTATCCCCGGATGTCCGTCGCCGGGCGGCGGCGCGGATCCAGGCGGCGTTACTGGCCTTGTGCGCGAGACGGTACGTCCGCGGGCTGCGGGACGACCGCGATCGCGCGGTACGGTTGATTTGGCGAAACTGGCGCAGGTGTAGGGCCAAGGCGGACATGCGCACCGCGAGACGCCTGAGGCGCGCCGAGGGCCTGCGGCGGGTAGCGGAGGAAAGGTCGAGGAACCGCGCCGCCCACGTCGTCCAGACGTTCTTCAGGGACGTCAAATACAGACGGGAAAGGGTGAGGGAGAGAGAAGCAGGCCGCCTCTCTCGACTTCAAGTACGACGAACGGGGACAGAGACAAAAAAACACTTGTCTGAGCGTTGGGCTCTATCCATGGCTTGAGGAAGAGGGCCAGCAGCAAGTATCGTAGTCCCCGCCCACCGTGTGTCTGGCTTGGCTTCGAAAGGCACCTGACAAGACATCACAGGATCCCGTAACGATGGAGCCAAACACCGAAACTCTCTTGTGTCGTTCTTTTTGTAGATTGTCCGAGCCCCCTGTTTCAGTATCCCCGATACCACCGTTCTCCATCTTGTGTATGCACATGATTATGCGTGTGCATTCGCCCGCCACCTGTCTCCCGTGATCACCCAAAAACACTTCCCCCCACTTTATGCCCCACTTTATGCGGCGGTGGTGGCAACGGCGGTGGCGGCGACGGCGGTGACACCGTTCTTTCTCCCCTCTCTTCTTTTCGTCAGGACCGACATGAAATGTCTCTCCGGGGGGATCCTGGAGCCCTAGCAAGCCAGCTGCGGGAGGAGGTAAGTACATGCCATGTATGGGACGGGGCATATCTGCGCAGTTTCGTTGTTGCACGCTTCTCTCTCCTTATGTGCATGTACGTAAGAGCTTTGTACGGCCCGCTCTAGTATACATTTTCCTCTTGGGCGAAGAAGCAAAGGACTGTAGCGAGATCCGCCGGCACACGCACATCTATCCGACCCACCAGCGTGTGTTGTCATTTGGACAAATAATGTAATTCACCCTGTTCGCGGCATCGCGGCATCCAACGGACATCAACCAAACGAAAGCTGTGTTAGTCTGCGGCACGTTGTCGTGGAGTTCGGTTCCCTGTTTTCTCACTCCCTGCCTCGTGCTGTTGAAAGCGCTGTGAACAATACCCGCTCTCCTCTTGTGTTGATTGCATCGCCCGTCCGCACACCACAGACCGCTGCGATCGCAGTGCAGGTTCACGTCCGTCGACTCATAGCTTCCAAGAGAGTGAGGGGGGTGCGACACACTCGACGCGCGCAAGCTCAGGCCCGCATCGCTCTTGCCGTGCGGCATCGAGCTGCGCGCATCCAGCAGAGAGAGAGAGAGCAGCGAGAGGAGCAAGAACAACGAGAGCGAACAGGAGGAGGGGATCAAGACGTCTCCTACTACCTCGAGATGGCAACGATGAGAACAGTGAGTGCGAGACGCAGCGCGAGGCAAGTTTAAAATACGACTCAGCTGTTCCGGTACAGCACTAACAAATAGGATTGACACCACAGCGAAGAATCGAGAGGCTTGGCCGAATTGAATGCGCTGATTGAGAGTGCATGTCGAAGTACGTTTGATTCTAGGGCAAGAAGTATGGGTAGATAGTTCTGATCGAGATCCTTTTTTTTCGGCCGGATTTGTTCATGTTTGTTTATGGAGGAAGGCGACTCCCGAGAAACGATGATACAAACACAGGAATGTTCCTTTGACGTTGCTTGAATACAGAATGTAAGCAGTCACATCAATATAAGCAGTCACATCAAAGCATCGTGTGGTTTCTGCAAAGGGTTGCTGGTGCCGTCCCCGTCGTCCACGTATGAGACTCGATCCGCTACATAGTACAGGCTAAACTTGCTCAATGGCATCGAAGAGTCCTGAAGCGACCTGCGGTAAGGATTGGTAAATCAACTCTCCCTTTAGGGTAGACACCCGGGGATGTGAAACGAGGGAATCGTACTCGATGTACGTTGGGGACACGCGACCTTTCTTTTAAGGCCACCTCCCCACCACGGTCAGTGGCCCTCTTGCTTCGGACATGCGTATCGGGGATGAACGCATGTACACGATGCGCTCGGAAATCTTTCGCAGACATCGCTTCGCCCGCTTACCTGTACCCGACGTTTGTTGCCGTCCGTTGTTTTTCACGCAACAGAAACCTTTGTCGCTTCAGCCTGACGAGGCGGCCACGCGAATACAGGCCTGGCGACGCGGGGTCTACTACCGACGAGTTGCTGGCGTAGCGGCAGCCCAAGCCGCGCGGCGGGTAAGAACTCGTCCGTTTCTTTCTCCCTCAGGTGCTGGATATGCACGTCGTGCCTCGTAATCTTGTTTGTACGTACTTGCGGGAATTAATCACGGGCGTGTCGGATGTAGGGAACCCGTGTATTTACCAAACAGACGATTGTGAAGCAGTGAATCGACTCGCCGCCAGTCGGTCGGGTTCCGGTGATAAAAGCCTGCTTCTTACCTAGCAACCAAAAAGAGTGCTGGGAAAAGGGGGGGGGGTGTACTCATAGTCGTGGATGCCGTAGTCGTTTGACCATTGACCTCGCATCCCTACAAAGCCGGGACGGAGCATGCCGGGTTCTCACCGGACCAGGCTCTCACATCACCAAGCGCGAAGCGCCGTGAGGTATTCGGCGAGTCGCATGAAGGGTGCGCTGCATCCTGCTAAGGGTGATCTGCATCTTGTGCTTACTTGCTTGCGTACGGATGACAGCTGCGTATGACTTAGTTTATTTTCTGGTGCTTTCACTTCCAGAGACAGTTATAAGCACTGTGTAACTCCCTCGAGGATGCTTGACCATTTTAACACAACGTGGTGCAACCATCCCCCGTTGTGCGGAGTGAGGGTTCTCGACCCCGCACAACATGATCTACTCGACCACCATTATGGTTACCGCCAAAAACAAAACAAAGGTAAAAAAAACGGTAACCTGGTTGCCGAGTTCACGAAGTGATCGGCTTGTTTTACAACGTCGTTGCCAAGCGACGAAAACCCAATCCCGATGGCAAACACCGAGGGGCGGTGGGAAAAGGGAGGGGGGGGTAATGAGGAGGTCCCTTTCACAAAGGGTACAACCTTCCCAACGTCTGTCGAGGACGATCCTCCTGTCACACATTGTGCAAACACATTCCTGACAGCGAGCGGTAGTCGTGCAAGTCCTGAACTAAGGCGAGTCGCACCCGTGCGTCGTGCCGACTGCTCAACGGAGCATCAAACTGGTAAGACAAAAAATAATGTAATCAATCAGAACATCCAAAGATCCGGCAACCGGCAAACGGTAAATAAAATGAGAATAACGTGGCGATGATCATACGCAAACTGCAGGAGGAGACGCCGACGACAATGACGGCGAAAGAGCCTCCCCGCCGCAACCAAGGCAGCAGCAAGAGTGCGCACCTGCGGGCTGCTCTTGAAGCCCTGCAGGCGGCGCACTCTGCTGTCGCTCTGTCGAAAAAGTCTACCTCCAACGACGAAAGAAGAAGGCACACAAGCAGCCAGGATGTGGTACGGAAAACCGCGGAGGAGAGAAACCCAAGGCAAGTACGCACGTAATCGCATAAAACCCCCATTATTAATGTGTCCATGGTGAGTGCCAAACTTGCAAGCCACACCCAAAGAGAGACTACTCTCTGCCGCCTGTTTTCAAGAAGTACTGTTTCATTTGCTCCCCGTTGGGTTGGAAAAACACCTGGAAAAAATTCATGCGTCATTGATGTTTGTATCAAAGGTATTGGGTCCTTATACATTTGGTTCTATCATGGACCCGACGTCTGTCTTGGCTCTTAGGGGGTTCTGCCGTTATTCTTCATTTTCGGGTGCTCGTCTTTCCCTTGTGTACAAGTACGCAAAGCTGACGTGGGTCATTCTCCGAGATGGAACTTGAGCTATCCTGCACTCAAAGCGTTGTGGGAATCCGAATATATATTGTCCATGCCTTTCACGCGGGATCTGTTCCGGTCTGAATTCCGTCCACACTTAGATCCAGACCCAGACCTATATTTTGGCTAACTGAGCACGATGGACGCAAAACCCCTTACAAAGCTAGAGTAGATGAGCCAGTGCGACTCATAGGGACTCTTTGTCATGGAGCTTCTCCTGGAAATTACTATCGCATGGTTCGAGTGCAGGGGGCTAAAAAGGATGGAGGTTAATGACTCCAGGAATCGAAAAGCTGTAGAGGGCGGTGTCCATTGCAGCAAGCAGCAGCAACTTCCGTCCCTGCCCGTTCATAAAAAATCCGTGCGCACCGACTCTGGACGACCGCGCAGGGGTCGGAATGGCACCAAAGACACAGCAGCCGCGCTCCTAGTGGATGGGTTGTCCTCACGCAGTGAAAGCCCGCGTGTCGACGAGCTGAGGCGGTTGGAGGCGAGGGTGTCGGAGAGGAGGAACACGCCTTCCTCGCCTGCAAGAGCGCGGCGAGCCAATCCCTCCCGAGAGAGATGAAGGATGTTCGCCGGTTGGCTGCTTCCGCTACCGCTGCGTCAATCGGCATCGTCAACATCTCTCTCGTTGGCAGCTCTGTTTTTCGATGGTGGTGCGTTTTTTAATGGTTGCCATGGACGTTTTGTTCGAAACTTTTCGTTTGTACTCGGAGTTCGAATTGTACTGTAGTACACGGTGGCTGGTACTTGTGTGCATGTACAAGTGTGTTCCACTTCTCGTGCTAGAAATGAAGGCATGCGCTGCAGAGAGAGATTTCTTCTGTTTGATTGACTATCGGAACTCTCAGTTAGAGACAACGCAAGACCATGGGGCAGGTACCAAACAACTGCGATCGACGGGTAGCCAATGAAGTAATGGAGAGAATAGTATGCGTTGAAGGCATGCAGCACGAACAACAAGCTGCTTTGCTCTGTTCAGGGGTAGCAAATTTCGTCATGTTGTAGTTGCTCCGCTTATAACAGATTGTCCAGTTGCGGCTTGACTCGACTTTAGGTCGTTGGATCGGCGAAGAAACTTGAGACAAGCAAGCGCAAATACGGGGGACTCATTTCCCGAACTGAAGATGGTGATATTGCAGCGCGTCGGTCGGTGGATCTGGATTCGCCGTGATTCGGTCCTCATTTTGGCGTTAGCCTTAGCTCAAAAACACTGGCCGGGAAGCCAGTACCTAAAGCACGAGGAAATGTAGAACAAGCCGCAAGCTTCCCAAGACGAGACAAGAACACCGGGTACAAGTTTTTACTGTTGGGGGTTAGTCCCAATTACGCCCCCCCAATTAGGGCCCCCCCCATCCCCTTGCCCCCCCCCCCTGGACTATATCACGTACTTAAAATACAACTAGATGAGTAAAGTGAGCACAAACCTCGTATAGAGTACAAGAAAAGTAGAACAAAGAGCGACAAACAGAGGATATTGTTCTGTAGAAAGAACTGTGAGGATATTGTTCTGTAGAAAGAACTGTGATGTCGGATGAGCGCTCGCATAAGAGAACTCGAGTATTTACAGCTTTCTTTGCGGCGGTGGAACCACCACACCGTACAACAACGTCAATGGGTGCCCGTCCTTTGATATTCCCCCCTTAGAAACCATCTTGAGTGCCCAACCCATACCAATTGACCTACAGGTTCGTCCAAAATGTTGGTCAACCTAAACCCAATATTCCCTGTTCCAAAAATTCCACGTGCTCGGCACCCCAAACATGGAGATCGGCCAAGAACGGAGGAATACCTACTGCAACACCCCGACCCCATCGACCAACTTCGATTTCCTTACGCCAGATGTTAAGAGTTGTTATCGTCAATGACACGCCGCACCCCCATCCAAGATCGCTATCTATCTTGGGACACAGCCAGCACGCCACATATTGTGATATTTCACTGCTAGGGATACCCAAGGTTTGTCCCCCTGTCACGACAAAGTTCAAAGTTACACGTAGTATTTTGTTCACGTTTTGTTTCCCAGAAGCAATACAAAGAGGCAACCCCCCTCCTCCTCCGTCAGCGAAACAACATCAAAACGCCTCTCCCAAGACTAATAACACGTCAGCCCTCCTGAGCCACTTTTTTTTGGAAGAAAAATTTGCAAACCAGCACAGCAACCCTCCCTCGCCGCCCTCCCAGTGCCCCCGTCTCTGAGCACACCTACAAGCCCAACAAGAAGCAAAAGCGTGTCTCTCAGACTCTCTACTGCCTACGACTGCTTCCCCCTGCTGCCCGGTTCAGCCGGGCAAGACGTTTTCTAAAAAACAAAAACACTGTCCTCTCTCTACACGTAGAGGTACAGCACGACCCAGCTTCAACAAAAGTTACCCCCCCCCAAAATTCTAAACAATTCAGGCTCGGATTGAAGTTGTTCCAAAAACGAACTGAAATGCACCATGAAGGCGACAGGCTTTGCGCGAATGGTTTTCCCATCACCCTGTCCTATCATCCCCCGAGGCGTTACCTTGAACCACGTCCATGTACTAGAACCGATTCGCGCTGGACACGCTTCGCGATTAAAGGAGACAAGACGTGGAAGGATCACCACAACAGGTTGGATCTGTTTCATGGCACGCGTCCATTCATCCTCCCACACCAGAAGCAACAGAATTGGCCCAAACAGGTGACCAATATGTAGACGGCAACCCCGCACGATCAAAGGAACAACGATGGCAGCGTCTGAGAAAAAAAATCCTTGCTGCACTCCATCCGTAACAGGAGCAACAGAAATCAGCCCAAACAGCCGATTCTGATTGCAAACCTCTAACAACAATGGGGCCAAACGCTATCACGCATCAAAGCACAACACAGCGTCGAACGATACAGCAAAAAAACGCGGCATGACGAGTGCATGACACCGCAAGGAAGGGTGCTTCCAGCTCTCTTCCCGTATACACACACGCACGGCGACAACACGGGCCTTTCTTCATGTTACTCACAACGTCCAAGCACAATGCCACGAGAATTACGACAAAACTACATTGAGAACGTAACATTCAACGTTACCCCTCTCAATCGGCGTATTCTCTTGGTTCAATCGATCATCATCTCATCACGGGTCTTCGATCTCACTGCACTAGCCACAAACAGCACGGCCCTATTGGGACAATTAATCCTTCCCCCCCAAAGGATCCAAATTCTGTAGACAAATGTCATGTCTCAAAAACGTTGAACGGCGAGCCGTTTCGAGAAGCATGCATACATACATAGTTGTACGCAGAGCCTACTTCACTCTGTAAACCACAGACAGACGATTCCTTCATAACACCAACACTCTTCGCACACACGAAACTCAATAAGAACATGATACCATGTGCTTCAAATTACCTCAACTTATTAGACAGCGCGGCAGGAATGCCGCCGTAAAAACAACGATTCATTCCTGAACTGAGCCACAGCCACCTTGACTCTGTCTATGTTGTATGTTGTTAGAGGGAAGCTCCGAAACAGAGTCACATCAATGGGATGGGTTATGCAAGGGCTCACTTAAGAGCGCACAACAACAAAACAATCGAGCCACACAGGAACTTTCAGCACACCGTAGAACACCGACAAGAACAAACAGACAGTATTTTCAGACAGCCCGCGGGGACGCTCCGAAACAGATAGTTGTGGCTGCTTGCCAAATAGATAAATAGGCAAAACCACTTCAAGCAACGGCAGAGACAGCCGCACGGAACCCAATACCAGACCTCAAGCCTAGGATGATGCCATGGAAAGTCATGAGAGGTACATACAAGCACTCCGTTTTTCCTGGTTTACTCATTCATGCCCATCGATGACTAGCTAGCGCAGACGACAGGCGGTTTCGAGCCTAACGTTCAAGTCTACCCTATTACAAGTAAATGGTGACTGACAGACACACATTCAAGAACATGTGTTAAATCGTGTGAAAATAACCGTAGCCCATCCCGACCGTGGCACACATGGACACGAGCTTGGCACCCGCCCACAATGCCGCTTGCATGTCAAATGCCGGTGCAGGCATACTTGCGTCTACGCCTTAGTGCAGAAAGCACGACGTAAACCAGGAGAGAGTGTAGCAGTACAAACAAACCACGTGCCGTGTGTTTATCTTGCTTACAAAAAAAACTTGCCAAAGTACATAGACAGACAAAACCGTCACCAACAGTTAAATGCCCCGCCACACCCACCACTCAACGCTCCAACGCTTGGTGCTTCGCGGTGCTATCGATATCAGCATGGCACCCACCCATCGAATCCCATCCACCAGAGACAGCACTTGAACGTGCGACAGGTCAAGCAGTCAGTTGGACTGCTCCTGTGACGAAAGGACGGGAGATAGGGGAGGGAGCATAGCGTCGCGTCGCAGGAGGATGGGGAGATACAGGAAAGTGCGTAGATGGCGGTGGGTCAAACGTTGCTGTGGATAGTATTAGCCAATCACAGACGCCCCAAGTATTCCGAAACATCAAAAAATATATTTCTCCAGCGTCATCAGCAATACCTCCTGACCCACAAACGTACAAACCTTGACGTAGTTGAGTATTTGCTCTTCTTGAAGCACAAACCGCAACAGCTATCTACAATGCCTGTCTCTTCAAACGTATAACGCTTCCAACGAAATGATTCTCACCCGGAATCTCCTTCGTGCGGTGCTTTACTTTCCGCTGCGGTCACGCGACCCTCGGAGTTGCCGGGACTGTCCGCCAGCCGCCTGCCGGACGCGCTTAGCACAACGCTCGCTGGCGCCGTCATCGCCGGACGCCTTGTTGACGTCCACGCAGCCACTCCCATCGACCATGTCGTCGTCGTCGTCGTTGTCGTCGTGGCCCCTCTTCCGCTTCCCGAAGCTGCTGCTGTCGAAAGGCGGCGAGGGCGGCGAGGGCTCGCTCGATGACACGTCGCATCCCCCGGCGTTGTCCATGGTGTTGTCCCAGGCGATGCCGCCGCCGGTGCTGCTGCTGTTGCTACTCGCGGAAATGATCCCCCCTCCGCAGCCGCCGCTGCCGCCGCTGCTGTCGTTGCTGTCCAAGGTGGTGGCTCTGCTGCCGCCGCTGCCGCCGCTGCCGCCGCTGTAGGAGCAGTAGCGGCCCCCAGTCTTCGCCCTTTTGCTGATGACGTCAGCCCCACCGCCCAAGTCGTCGTTGCTGTTCTTCCTCTTCTGCTTCCCCAGGCAGCTATCGCGAGACGGTGAGGAGGGCGAAGATGCGCTCGATGACCCGTCGCAACCGTTGCCTTCGTCTGGGCGACTCTTGTGGTGAAAAGCGCCGCTGTATCCTACGTGGTCGCCGCTTCTGCTGCTGCTGCTGCTGCTGCTGCTGCTGCTGCTGGTCATGATGAAACCGTTTCCATCACCGCCGCTGCTGCTGTCGTTGTCATCGGATGTAGTGACCCCGCTGTAGCCGCCGCTATAGCCGCGACTGCCACTGATGTGTGCTCCGTCGCTTTCGGCCTGGTCGTCGCTAGCCCCTCCTCCGTTCCCGTAGCACCCGGCTCTCGCCTTCCCACCGCCATCTCCTCCCTGCCCGTGGTGTCCGGTGCTGCTGCCCCAGACACAAGCGATCTTGCCCAGCCGGTCAACCATCGAAGAGTCTCCGCCGACGTCGCCATCGCCGATCACATGCTTGTATCTGTTTGACGAAGTCGATCCCCCGACGCCGTGTTCGGGCTCGAAGCGCGGCCCTTGCCCTCCTCCTACCCCTCCGCCTGCTACGCCGTCACCGCCACCGCTGCCGCTGCCGCTGTCGCCGCTGCTGCTGCCGCCGTCGCACCACTTGCCCCCGCCGCCGGCCACTTCCATGCTGTTGGCGATGTCGTTGGCCACGGCCGTTGCCAAGCTTCTCTTCAAGACCGGTTCTCCCTCCGCCGCCCCACGAGAGAACACCTTAGCCGCCGCCACCGCCGCCAACCCGGCCACGTCTCCGGCTCTAGCGGGGGCAATCTTGGCAGCAGCCGACATGGCACCGGTGGCATCGTCGCTCGAGTCCGGCTTGCCCTGGGCGTGGTAGAGCTGCGCGGGGTGTGGCAGCGAGCTCCGTTGGTCTTCCGTGGTGAGGTTACGGCTTACGCCAGGGCTGGCCAAGCGGGCGTCGGCTTCGGCTTCCGCCAGGAGTGGCTGGTTGATGCCCATCGCAAGGGGGATCGAGCCTGGCAAAGAACAGACGTGGGTCGGGGTGGTGTGGATGAGGATGCGTTTGTCACGACGTGGTTGTCTCGCGTACCAGCTTTTGCTATCTAGTTGGGTGCAGGAGGTGGTGTCCCCGACCACGTAACCTACCTCAACACAGCGTATGCAACGGAAAAAACGGCGCTGTCAGGCAACCAGATGTAGCTGCAGGGGGTAGTGAAGGTACAGTCACAGGTTGCGAGTCCTGAGCCTGAACCAGCCAGGGGCAAGGGGGTGCGACTCTTGGGAGCGATTCGAGGTTAGCCCATACACTAACCGCACGAGAGGCACCACGGTATGTCCGCTCCGAACCACACCTATACCAGAAGCGCCTCTCATGCCTCTACAACAGTCAAATAGAGCCAAGAGTGCCCTCACTTTGGTACCACCGCACCGTACTCCCTCCCTTCACCCCCCTACATGCACCACAGCTCATTCCGTAGCGCTTGTTCTTACCGTCTGCGATGGTGCTCCTGGCGCCTTCACCGCAATCGCCGCTCTCCGATACTGCCGCCTTCGCCGCCGCCACCATCGCGTCGTCGCGCTCTTCGCCCAGCGCTAGCAGCGCAGCGGCAGCTTCCTTCCTCGTGATGCACGCAGGTCCGGTCAACGGGTAGACCGGGTCCGATTCCCCGACTCCCTCGATGTCCCTTGCCGCCCGGCGGAGAAGCTTCATGTCCTGGTCCCTTGATGCGCGTGGCAGCCTCACGGTGTAGTCCTTCAATTTCAGCTTGGGCGCTGCGTGGGTCGTGGAGCGAGGGGGGGGGGGGGGGGGGGG